CCCCAAAACCCCAAAACCCCAAAACCCCAAAACCCCAAAACCCCATAGCTATGGAATAGAGTCTGAATATTAGATATTAAGATTAAACGAATATTTTTGACTGGTGCGGTGTTTTGGTAATTTTGAACATGTATGATGATTTTCGTTCACGGGTTTCTAGGGGTGAGGCAGGGGCTTACGGAAGTTGGGGTATTTTAGAGCGAGGGTGGAGGAGGGTTTAGAGATGGACATTGAGTCTTCTTTGGGGTCTGGAGTGTTGGGGGTGTTGTTTTGGGGAGGTTTTATAGTGAGGGGCTTTATGGGTTAGAGGGAAGGTACTTTTGGGGGTTGAGGTTTTTGGGATGTTTTTGTGGATTTTGAACATTTCTTTTTGCATTTTGTAGCAAAGCTCCTGATTGTATTAGCTATGGGGTTATGATTTACAGTCTTACCAAACATTATTGAGACAATTACAAAATTATTCGACATCAAAAGATACATATACAATTCAGTTCCCATTCCTTCCCAAGCACTATCTGTGTTTAAATATCACAAAGAGCATCATGCAACTGTAAAGAACAACTCATTAATAATCTCAACTAAATTGTCTCAGATATTCTCAAATGGCCTAGACCATGCTAGTCTGATGACATAGAGCAATTGATACACAGACATAAATGGAATCAAAAAATATTTCCCAAAGTCTCTCATACAAATTAGCCAAATGACCAACACAAACCTCCTGAGAAGAATCATGAAAGTGTAGCTTCTCGCATTTTGAGTGTTCTTGAGTCCCCTCACAAACTCTTTGCAGTGATAATGCTTCTTATCATCGTAGTTCTTGAAGCTTCAGTAGACATACATCGAAAGAGCTAGGATAAATATGCATATCACAAGAAACACTCAGGATATTGAGAATGAAGCATATTCAGTGTATTCCATGTTGTAGATCTCAGACACTCAAGCCAGCATTATGAACTGGTATGCTTCAAGCAAAAGTCTAAAGTATATTGTGAAATTGAAGAGCTCATACAGAATTTCTCTAGTTGTTCAATAACATTTTCCAAATCTCGATTTTCATTTTGACTCAGAATGCTTAAGTTTGTTACATTTAGGAAGCAAACACACACAAATGTGAGGAGGAACCAGCAGAAATATCAAGAATATCAGACTGAAGTTATTGTTGAAGGAACTACCTGACTCTATTCCAATCTCTGTCAGAGATTCGATATTTTGGTCTTTTAATAGCCAGCCTTTTGGAATACTGATTACTGGCAAACTATCAAGAGGGAGAAAATCCAAAGAGAACGAAGCAAATCTGTTCCCTGTGATGAACTGTATAATTTTGTCTGGCATTGAACATTTGGTAAGCAATAACAACAAAAGTAGCTGAAGTTGATTAGCCATGGCCCATATTGCAGCTGGAGATGACATGTTCAAAGCAGAGTTTACAGCAGCAGCTGCGATAACACCACCAACTGCAGCCTGAGAACTTGCTGAAGCAGAGGTAGGAACTTCAGTAGATGCCTCTATTCATTGAAACTTATTATCGAGTTCATATCCTTCATCACAAATTTCTCATTTTGAGGTGTCTTCGGACATGCATTCAGAACAGTTATCAAGAGAACAAGTTGTTCAGACAGACTTTGATGTCGAATTCCCACCTTTACAGACATAATTGGATTCGACCACTCATGAGCTTGATCATCCATCTCCGCCAATGTTGTTTCCGTCATCTCAGTATGTGTCAGTCAAATTACTTAAACTAACAAAGCCATCTCCTCAAGTGTCAGTTCACACACTTGCTGTAGTTGAGTCACCAGAAGTTCAGATCACATTAGGCTCAATTTGTCATGATGAATTACACCCATCTTCATCTACTGTATTCCCATCATCACAGTATCCTGAACTTGAAGTAACAACAATTCCATCACCTCATACATCAGATCAATAGCTCTGAGTGCTTGGACCTCCCAGTGTTCAAGTCCATCCTGCTTCGACTTGTCACTGGTTGTCACATCCATCACCAAATGTAGTCCCTCCATCATCTCAATATGTTGGCTTTGGGTCCATAACTTTAGAGTCTCCTCAATAATCTATTCATGAACTGGGTGTTGTCAAGTCGCCTCCTGTGCAGTTCCACCCTGTTTCTATTTGACATGAAGAGCTACACCCATCTCCATCAACAGAATTGCCATCATCTCACCAGTTAGACTTAGTTTCTACAACAATTCCATCTCCTCAATAATCTGTACAACTTGATGCTGTCCCTGCATCTCCGAGAGTGCAGTTCCAACCAGTTTCTACTCCTCAAGATACATTACATCCATCCCCATCTATCTTGTTGCCATCATCTCAGTACCCAGTTTGTGGCTTCATGACAACTCCATCATTGCATTGATCGCTTCATTCACTTTTTGTAGAAAAATCTCCTGATGTGCAAGTCCACCCTACTTCTACACTTCAAGTATTGTCTCAGCCATCGCTATTGTCTTTATTTCCATCATCACAGTAATTAGATTGACTCTTGACGACTTTGGAGTCACCTCAAAAATCACTTCAAGTATCTGGAGTTGATGAAGTCCCTCCAGTTCATTCCCAGCCAGACTCTATTGATCAGCTAGAGTCACAGCCATCACCATCAATTTTATTTCCATCATCACAGTAGCCAGTTGATGAGGCCATTATTTTACCATCTCCTCAGATCTGGGATCATGAACTTGAAGTTGAGAAATCGCCTAGAGTGCACTCCCACCCAATTTCGATTGCTCACGTAGAACTGCATCCATCTCCATCAATTTTATTTCCATCGTCACAATAGCTCGTTGTTGGGGTCACGACTTTTCCATCACCTCATTTATCAGAGCATGAGCTTGCAGTACTCGAGTCACCTAAAGTGCAATCCCATCCTGACTCAACAGATCAGTTTGAACTTCAACCTTCTCCATCATCTTTATCTCCATCGTCACAATATCCAGCTGTTGGGTTCATCACTGCTCCATCTCCACAAATGTCTGAACATGAACTTGCTGTCGATGAGTCTCCTAGAGTTCATGTCCAACCTGATTCTACAGAGCAGCTTGAGCTTCAACCATCAGCATCAGCTTTATTTCCGTCATCTCAGTATCCAGAGGTAGGTTTCATAACTTTGCCATCTCCTCAGGTGTCAGTGCAAGAGCTTGCTGTACTGGAATCTCCTAGAGTTCAATCCCAGCCTCCAATAACACTTCAAGCTGAGGTTCAGCCATCAGTCTCATCACTGTTGCCGTCATCTCAGTAACCAGTAGTTGGATCCATGACTTTGCCATCTCCACACGAGTCTGAGCATGTACTTGCAGTTGAAGAATCTCTGAGTGTACATTTCCATCCAGTCTCTACTGCTCAAGAAGAGCTTCACCCGTCATTATCTAATTTATTTCCATCATCACATTTCCCAGCGATTGGATTCAAGACTGTTCCATCACCTCACTCTTCTGTACACACAGATGAAGTTGATGAATCTCCTAAAGTTCAGCTCCAACCAGATTCTACTTGTCATGTAGAGCTACATCCATCTCCACTGTCTTTATCACCATCATCTCAGTATCCAGAAGTTGGATCCGTGACTTTGCCATCTCCTCAAATATCATTGCATGAACTGGCTGTCAAAGAATCTCCAAGTGTTCACTCCCATCCAGCCTCTACTGTTCAAGTTGAGCTTCACCCATCACCATTTGCTTTAGCTCCGTCATCACAATACCCTGCTGTTGGGTTTACTACTTTGCCATCTCCTCAAGTGTCAGTGCATGTGTCTGGAGTGGTTGGACTTCCTCCAGATCAAGTCCAGTCAGTTTCTTTTGTTCATGTGCTATCTCATCCATCCCCACCGTCAGTGTTTCCGTCGTCTCAATAAGTGGCAGCCATTGTGCCAACAACCTTTCCATCTCCGCACTCGTCCTTGCAATAACTGTTTTTGTCAGTGCTGTTCCACTCTCAAACATAGCCAGTTTCAACTGCTCAGATGGAGCTGCATCCATCTCCATTGTCAATGTTGTTGTCATATCAAGTTGTGGTTTGGTCTGGAGGAGCTGAATTCCCTCTGCAAAATACTGATCAAGTCCCTAAAGTTCTTTAGTAATGGAAGCAGAAAAGATAATAGCTTGAATGTATAAGTTTATGAGTCAAATTGTACCTGCTTGTCATTTCCAGCCATCTTCAACTTTACAATACTCGCTACATCCATTTCCATTTGTCCAGTCACCATCATCACATTCTTCAGTATAACTTCCATCATCGTTTGTATCACTCACACCGTTTCCACAAGGAAAGTAGTCTATTATTTATTATACTATAAAAGTTTACAAACTTACCATTATTCGGAATGTCATCCAAGCTTCGTGATTCTACTGGTGAGAGATCTATGAAATATTAGAAAATTAAAAATCAAAATATTTGGGATGAGAAACCAAACAATTAAATTTACCATTATAAACTCTAATACTGTGTATCAACATGTCTGTACCTGTAGTACAGCCAGAGTCCAGGCAGCCAATGAAGTAAGTTCCTCCAGTATTCCATGATGAAACTGTGTGGGCTTCATTGTCGAGACTTCCATATCCAGGAAAAGAAATTCTTCTCTTGAGATAGCCTTGATTGGGTTCCCATCCAACACCGAAGAGAGTCCATCCATTGTCTAAAATATTTATTGTAAAATGAAAATTAGAAAATAAAATCTAAATTACTTTTCATCATCCTCTGTATTCCATTAACTTCAACTCCATTTACATGAGGCCTGACTCTTCTTCTGTCGTTGCCATTAATCGTTACTTTATGAAGATACAGTGATAAGTCTCCAATTCCTTGAGGATGAGAGCCATTTGTAAACTATTCTTGTTATTGAGTCTTACATTGTTGCCGATTGTCAAGAATCCTCCTGGACCATTACCATATCTGTAAACCCAAACAACAACCGATATTTTATCAGACCCTTGGTTATCGAAGTGACTTGAAAACTCCAAATATCTACATTGTAATTAAGAAAAACCGATGCTTACTGTCCATCTCCAAACCTTATTCCTTCAGTCTGGATAGTTGGTTTTTCAGAAGTAGTACCTATTGCTGACATTTCAGACTTACTCGGCCAATTCAGAGTTGGCTGTCCAGCCATCCCTTGAGAGCTTGAAATAGGAGCTGATGTTGAAGAAAGCCCATGCAGCAAGTAAGTAGCCATGATTGCACACTTTATGCGTGCGAGCAGTAAGACAAATAGCCAAATAATTTTGGTTAAATCTATATTAATAAATCAGCTGAAATTTTATTGGATTTTTTTGAAAATTCTGAGAATATTTCTAAAACACTCTTCTCAATAACTAATTGTAAAAACTGTTAAAATGAAGGATAGTAAAATTTTGTGCTGCTTAAAAACTAGAGTTGAGGTTATAAAATTATTTTCTATTTTAGGAATTGAAGTCACAAGTCATGATTTTTATAAATATTTCAAATATATAAATTCTGAAAATTGAATTATATGTGTTTTAAATTACAATAATATATCAAATAGTCTAGAGCTTAATGATTAATAATCTGGATTACTTAAAATAATAGTAAACTTGTCTTCTAATTTCAAAAAGTTCAAATCCTATAAAATATAATCTCTTTTCTCTCAAAATCCGTCAAAACTTCTCTAAAACCACTCTTCCATCTACTTTCATCAATTTTCAATTCCATTCTATCAGCAACTTCTCTTTTCCAGGCAACTTACCCATTATATAAAATCTCGTCTTATTTCCAATATATTATATAAACTCCGGGGTTTTGGGGTTTTGGGGTTTTGGGGG